AGAGGCCCACAGCCACACCCAAAAAAATATGATTTCTTAAATCTTATGGATATTTTGACACAAAAGGGGGGCCCAGGCCTCCTCTAAATCTGCCACTGCCGATGATTAGTCTTGTTCAAATAGAAGCATTTCATATCTGACATTTTTATGCCCCACCATGAATATGGCCAAAACATATATCATTTGCCATGTCTGTCTTCCGTACTTTGCTCTTTCCAACTTCTGTCTTTCCATCCTTCCATCATGTTCTTCCATCACACTTTTTAATAGGTTAAGGGTTTTAAAAATCTGGTATATTTACTTTCATGAGAAAGACTTGAATTTATTTGTTTAATCTGCTGTATTGCAGATGTTGTTTTAAATTATTGATGGGATCAACAACATTCACATAAATGGAAAACTTTCAACTATAAAATCTAATTTCTTATTTTGCATATATATAAGAGAAAAATATAGTGTCTTTCTAAGATTGTACCACTTCTGTATTTTCAATTTATTTTGAAAGATTTTCCAGACAGTTGATATGGCTGGAAGCAGATGTGACTAATAAAAGACCGGAGGTTGTAGCAGAATACTTCCTGAATGCAGTTCATACTATGAAAGGTATAGTGACAGAATCACCGGGTACTATGTTTAATGACAAGTTACAATTGCAAGTGTGCTTCAAGAAATGTCAATTGATTTCTGAAATTAAGCCACCAAAATTTCAAAATACTTGTTATGAATTAGAAGGGAAGGCATATATTGATAACATCATAGTCTGTCTTTTAAGGTTGTCCTCAAAAGATAAGAGCTGATCCTGGCACAGAAAATGGGATCATCGCAACATTCCAAACATTTCTTAAGACAGATCCAAGTGCAGTGTCTTTTGGAACTTCGACTGCAAATCAGGTTAGCATTGTACATGTTTTAAACAGCTCCACACCCCCAAAACACACACAGATAACATTTTCTGGAAAGAAAATCATATGTCCAAGTTTTAATAATGTTTTTTACAAACATTAATTGTAGAGAATTGAAAGATTTTGGGGCATTTTAAGGCAAATGAAAGCAGATTTCTGGATGGATCATTTCAAAGTAAGTTATTGCCACATCTGAAATATTACAAAAATGTTTCTCTTAATTTATTTAGGAAAACAAGTATTTTACTGACTAAAGTTACATTTTACAGTGTGTTAAAGCTGAACACGACTCGTAAATAGGCATACGCCATTTTCGATATTACTATCTTAGATATCAGCACCAGGGTATACTCTTCGGATTCGTTACACGTGACTGCTTTATTGTCACGGGTATCGGTGTGGAATGGCGACCCGTGTTTGTGCTGGTTATCATGCATTCCCTTTGTTTACATTTTATTGCAGTTACGTATATTTGTGTTTGTTTGTATACTGCGCTGACCTGTGTAACTGTTGTAAATCTCTTTGGTATCTTACTCTCCTGCATTATTTAGAAGAAGCACACAGTTATTTTGTCGCTACCAAGTGCTGTATAGCATACGTCCGTCTACACCGATGACGATTGATTACATTGAACAGTGACCAAGTGAGCGACTCTATATACAGGGGCCCTCAGATACAGCCCGAGTTCAAGCGAATATGTCGGACGCATTCTTTTTACGAAGCGTGTTCAGCTTTAACTATGCATGTACTTCGTTTATGGTAATATGCATGGCCATAGTAAATATAAAAAAATACGAAAATATATCTTGGGAATTTATTATTAGGGATTGGTGTATGAAGAACTGCTGGAAATAGGAAATCCTCTACATAAGTATGTATAGATGAAAAAGGAGTTCAGATGAACCTCCTTGAAAAGAAATATTAGATGTACATGTCTATTTACTTTGTCTTGGATAAGAATGATACCCTGTCATTGATAATAAAGTGTCGTCTATATCTCTGTAAATGGTAACAAAATATAGACTGTAACATGGAGGATAAAAATATTATGTCATTTGTACTTGCAAAAGAAATTATGGTAGCATTTTTTATGCTTTGAAAAGAAACTGCTATATTAAAGCATTCATTTATTATTTCTTGAAAGATGTAGTCTCCTAACTGCAACAGTGTGTTTAAACATGGTAAACAAATAGAGTATCTTGTAATTGTGGTAGCACATTATGAAAATTTGTTTGCACACACTGTTGGACTTATGAGACTTCATTTTTTAAAAAATAGTGATTCAATTAATGCTTATATTTACATTTTATAACTCCCAGTCTTGCCTGCAAACATGACTCATATTTCAAAACTATTATTCTTTGGGTATTAAGTAACAATTAATGGAAGAGCCATTGCAACAGCTACATTCAATGTGAACATGAAATTTTGATTTTCGCTTATTACATTGTGGGAATGTTAGAAGAACAACACTATAGTTTCTAAAATAACACTCTGACTTAGTGCACCTACATGTATGTTAGCATGTACATGTACCTTGGTATATAGCCTTATAACTGAAATTGATCAAGTGTGGGAGGGAGTCTTTTTGAATATTCATGTGACAGCATGACTCGGATGAGAGGATTTGTCCAGGGCCACTTGCATACCTTATTATTTCAAACAAATGAATTGCAAATAAAGTTGTTGCTACTAACAGTCTAAATACCGGTATATTTACATATATCAACTGCATTTTTTAGATCCTGTATACAATTTGTTTATCTTCCACTGATAAAGAGAGATCTAAAAGATATAATGGACCAATGGAATACTCATTCCATACGAAGACAGAAGCTGGGAGATACCCTGCATGGAATTCCAGAAGTATTGTTTCAAAATCCTGAAGTTGTTGGTATGAGTAAATTATTAGCTAAACCAGTAAAATTATCTGTGGCATCAGTGTTTCACAAACACTTCTAGTTTATTATGTAAGTGTAGAATTAATTTAGCACATTCCAGGAAATGCTTATTTTAAATATATACATGAAAACATTTAGCTATATACATGATTTAGCAGATGCTACTCTCTGTTAAATGTTATAGAAAAGGAAGCACATGCATGACAGGTATTCGTTGTATATTCATTGGTTTCTCTTCTTTATGTACCAAAAGCACACAAAAATGATTGAAAATGTATCATATGCATGTGTTATAAAATATGTCACAACTGTTTTAGCTCCAACAATCTTAATTATTTTACTCATTTTTCAGGTGCTTCAAACTACTTACATCCTGTTCAGAGAAACGTTGTGACTGAGTTACAGAGACTTGTCAGAAATAATTTCAAGGAGATTGACGAGGATTTTGCTTCCGTAGCCTCATCTATATTGAGCCATTATAATTTGCCTTTCCCGGTCAACATAACTGACATGACTTGTGCTCGCCATCTGTACATTTTTCTAAGCGAGTTTATGTCTCTTTTATTGACTTGATATATGAAATATCATTATATGTATGAATGTATGTATGAAGGTAGATCATGTCACAATGTAATGTCACAACTGCAGTAAAAATTCCAGTTATGTAATAGTTTCTACTGTCAGATAGTTACATGTACTGGCTTATAGCAGGAAGAAATACTTTGTTCAAAATCCAGAAATACTATAGATATATATGCCCCCTTATCTTTTTTTTTTTAAACTTTAGAATATCAATTTCATTCATTGATATTTTCTCTTTATGTTAGCAATATTTTTTTGATACCTGATGTATTATGTTATACTTATTGTACTTCAAGGATGCTCTGTTTTCATTTCTATCAAGGATAAAAGAAGTGAATGTGCATAATTAACTGAATTTCTCAGCAATATTTTTAGAGGGGAGAGTTGAAATAAGCTTTTCACACCTTATCTATAGGCCCACTATAAAACACACTGAAATGTATGGATTAAAGCTTTTAGTATAATGAGGAAATTTAGAATGAACCACTCTTACTTCATATATATTTGAACAATATTGTATTTATTTGACTCTTTATGCCCCCAAAATCAAAAATTTCATATTTCACAGGTGTATTCCTTGTGACAAAATCTTTCTTTGGGTACCACCAAATTTGACCTCGTGACCTTGACCTTGTAGTGTGACCCACTTTTACAAAAAATTGCCAAACTTTAAGCTTGGCCATAACTTTTGAACAGTTGGTGCTAGGGCTTTCATACTTAATATGTGTTTTGTTATTTAAGTTTATAGTCTTCATCATGATTCTTTAATAGCCTTGTGTATATACTTGTACATTATATATGTTTAATTAAATATATGAAGTAAATATGTAATGATATTTGTTTGTTTGAATCCTCATTGAAAGACTTGTATATTTGTGCTGCTTGAAAAAAGAGGACATGCCATTTTAAGCAGTCAGTTGGTCTGATCAGTATCAGGCCTGTAGGAAGCAATTTCACTTTGAGGGGGCACAACCATACATTTTCAGTTGGGGGGCACTATCAACTACCAAAATTCCTTGACAAGCGAAAAAAAAAGGTCATTGGACGTTATTATTGAGGGGGCACAAGCATATAGTAGCTACATGTATATTTTCTATAGTACGGTGTATTCTATATATTGACAAAATTATTGGGGGGGGGGGGGGGGGGACTGGTCCGGTTCTTACAGCCATGAGTATCTTGAGAATCTTTTGATTGATTGTCATCAAACTTATACACTGGTCCCCCTCTTTGGATAAGTTAAGAGGTTGGAAGGTCAAGGGTCAAACTATTAAAGTTATATGTTACTGTTATATGTACTGGCAAAACTTCAAGTAACAATGAAGGAAAGATTAAAGATAACTAGCTTTTATAAATTTATTGTACAATTACCTTACATTCATATGAATTTAACATCACTTCTATGTGTAATTCATGTACACGTTTTTTTCAGACACATTTGTTAGATCAGGCAATGAATCCTACTTTGTTTGTATGTTCCTATAAACATCTACTGGGTAATCAGTGTATACACATTGTAAGATGAGGTCAAGGTGACTTTCCATTAACCATTGTGACCTAAGCATAGTCATTTTGTCTTAATATATGAAGCTATTTCGTATTTCAGACTACACAAATGTCAGTTCTTGGGAGAAAGTTAATACAAGCCTTCAGAGACCAGAGACTTTGTGACGTAAAGTTAAAGCTTCAAGATAATTCCATCATTGAAGCCCATAAAATTGTATTAATTCTTGGATCAAAATGGTTTGAAGCCCGGCTTTGTGGAAAGTGGAATCATCCCAGTGATGAATCAAACATAATTCAGTGTGATGTTCATTCTATTCGACATACAAAGGAAATGTTAGAGTTCTTGTACACTTCTGAAATACACATTACTTTAGATAATGTAGAAGAGATTTACCAGATTGCTGACTATTATAGTGTTACTGAACTTATGGAAAAATGTTGCATATTCTTAGAACAAAACATATCAAAAAATACTGTTCTTAAAATTTTAACTATTTCTCATGAAAACAGCATAACGGATATCAAAAACAAAGGCCTTGAATTTTTAGACAAACACATTGAAGAAGTATTATTAAGTATAACTACTGAAGAATTCCAAGAAATTCCTCTGGAATTACTCTTGAATATTGTTAAAAGAGACAGTCTATGCATACATGAGGAACTTCTATTTAATCACATCAATCTTTGGACTAAAAAAGTTAAAGAAGAAGACATTCCCCACACCTGGCATGACATAAGTCCCTTTCTAAGGTTCGGAATGATGTCAATGGACTTTTTTTTGGAAAATATTGTTAATAAAGGCATAATTGACAATGAATTATCTTTGAAGATCATGGTGTACTTATCAACAGTTGAACAACAACCAGTACCAGAACAGCACTCCAAGATAAGATGTCTAATAACAGACCAGGACATAATTATCAATCGCTTTTTACGTCACAGTCTACATCCTACATGGGTTGTTGATAATTCCCTAAATGGGGACAGGATATCATTCACTATAAACTTAGATACTTTCTATTTAAGAGGAATATTTGTTTACGGTACAGAGACTGTATGTGAAGCAGGTCTTTTGGTTTCCATGTATCTTTATACTGGAAATGGCCAGCTTTTAGGAAAAAGCCAAACTAAGCAGAAAACTCAGAACTACAAAGAAATTCCAGTAATATTTCCAAAACCGTTGCTTCTTGTTAAAGACACCGTTTATACAGTAGTTGTGCGGATAAGTGGAGGGCCTACTTATAATGGTGTAGGTGGCTTGTCGACTGTAAATGTTCAAATGGGGGAGACGAGCACTCTAAAAATTACTTTCCAAGATGCTTTTGGAGAAACAAATGTACAAACGGGGCAAATTAAGGGGCTCATTTTGAGAAAACGTTAAAATAATGAGTTTTAACAAGCTAAATCTTGAGGTCAAAGTTATGAGTGGCAATAGAAACATTATTAATTGTTCAATTCATACCTTTCTCTTTATATATTTCATTATTATTCACCATACAAAAATTATAATAAAAGGTCACTTTTATTTCAAATCTTTTTATTTAGTGCACATGTATATCTGTATAATTATATAGCCTTACTTTGTAATAAGTACATGCGTTTAAAAAATCAACTACCCGGTAAAATGTTCTTCCCTCAACACACCTGTAATATTGCCTTGTATAACATCAATACATCACTAGACATATATCCACCAAAGGAATTTAGAGGTAATCTACTCCTGGACATTTCTCATACAATGACAAATTAAAGAAAGAGGTCCAAGGGCCTTGAATCACTCTTCTGATAAATTGTACAACATACCTATCACTTGTATTTGAAGCCTCATAGTATTCTATTTATCTAGATAAAACCTTGAAATTCTAAATTTAAAGTAGGTCATTGTTACCTTCATTTTGGTTAACACACTCTGAGAACCCAAGATGCATCAACGGACAAAGCTTGATGATTCAAAGCATTATATTAATTGAAATATTTAAATATTACCTTGAAATTCCAAAAGTAGATCACTGTGACCTTCTTTTTAATTGAATCATTTTGAGGACCCAAGATGAAGCAACTGACAAAGTTTGCTGATTTTAAGCCAATTGGTATCTGAAAATATTCAAAAACGTAGGTCACTGTGGCCTACTTTTGAGTCAACTTGATATGTAACCTAAGATGCATCAATTGACAAGACTTGATGACCCTTTGCCTTATAGGAAGCAAAATATCAAAGTTTTGACAAAACATAATCTACAACATATCCTCATTCTTGTATGCAAGTTTTGTGATAATCTGCCCCCTGCATCTTGAGAAGATTTTTTTAGCAACCTGTACTTTTTATATCATTTTCCCAATTATCTTCCCTTGCTTAAGGGTCACAACCCTGTTTTTAGTATAAATGAGAGCCAATTGACCAGAGATACTCTGACAATTTGACAAAAATTGGTCAAGGGGTTCTTGAGTTATGGCCCATATTCCTAAAAGTTAGAAGAGCTAATAATATCATGATCCAATAAACTTAAGATACCACATCTAAGGGCAAATGATGAAAAGTCGAAGAGAATGGTCACTTTAAAGTGCTTAATTGTCTTAAACAATTCATTGAAAAGAATTTGCTTCCATGTGAAATTGATTTCCGTTTTGAAGATTTTTCTTATTTATACCCATGTAAAACTTTGATCAAGCATAGTGCCCACACCCTACCCCAGGGTCATGTTTTAAATCAACTTGAATGCACATTACCTGTGGATGCTGCAATATAAATGACTAATCTTTTGTTGTTCTTGAGAAGATTATTGATGATTTTTCCTATATATACCATGCAAGACTTTGACCACCCATGGAGGCCCCATCCTATCCCAGGGGGTCATGATTCGAACAATTTAGAATTTACACTATCCCAGTATGCTTCCATTTAAGTTTCGGCTTTTCTGGCCAAGTGGTTCTTGAGAATTTTTAATGACCCCACCCTATTTTTGTCTTCTCTTGATTATCTCCCCTTGTAAGGGGGCTTGGCTCTTCATTTTAACAATTTAAACTTCACTTTACCCAAGAATGCTTTGTACCAACTCTGCTTAAAATCAGCCTAGTAGTTCTTGGGAAGTTGAAAATGTGAAATGTTTACAGACAGATGGATGGACAGCTAAATGGTCGGACAGACAATTGGTGATCAGAAAAGCTCAATTGAGCTTTCAGCTGAGATGAACTAAAAACAAAACCATCAAGTCTTTATTTCTCAATCAGCAAAATAAAGACACATATTACAAAGCAACTCATTTGTATACCCAACAAAAAAGCTTACTGTGATGGAATGAAAACAAAATGATATACACTATATGCCTGACCATTTCATGGTTGGGGGCATAAAAATACTGAATAGTCTTCTGATAAAAATTGTTTATGATAGACAGGCATTCTGATTTCAGTGAACTTTGGTTAAGAGTTTAATCAAAAGATGAACACAAATAAACAGGACAATTATGTAGAACCCGCCAGTCTAGTTTTTCTTTAAAAGCACAGTTCCATAAAATGTCATGGTTTCATCCACCAGATAATTCTGAAATGTATACATATAAAAGAATTAAAATTGTTCATTAACATCAGTAGCTGTCGAACTGTAGATTTATGATTTTACACAACCTTTGACCATGGTCTTTGACCATTACGCTGCAGATCTCAGTGCAATTTATGTCACAAGATTTTCTGCGCATGGTATGGGAGAATTCTCCACTTTCCAGCATTGGTCAACCTTTCATTCCATAATTCCAGGCACATTCTTTAACCAACCTGTATATTTTATTCATTTTGTAACCCTTGTTACAGCCGTCTCTACCAACGAATAAACTCAATTGTTTTGAATTTTCTGCCATCCTACAAGAAATTCAAAACAATTGAGTATATTGGTCATCCCCCCACCATGCGCAGAAAATCTTGCGATGTAAATTTGACCATATTTGCATCACAGGATCTGTAGTGTTATGGTCAAAGACTAAAATATAAAACCTTAATGCAACAGTTCTGAAGCTATGACATCAGTTATCAGCAAAAAAGCTGATGAAAAATATTTTAGAACCTTTTTGTCTGAGAAAGAAATTAAGTAAAATATATGAAGTAAGTTTTGATTCACTGCAAGCATCAAGACTCAAGTTTTTCTTTTATGGAAGTACAGAGTAAAGAAACAAACCATGTTTAAAAGATATACCGGTATGTATAAGTTTCTTACCCCCTCTTTCAATACCAACAATGATGGCAATTTATCAATTGGCATTTCAAAACACTCTGTGAGCTCAAAACAATGAATGCATTCTCTTTCTGTACAGGTGGTTGGTGAAATGCATTCCAAATGGAATACAGAAGGGAGAATTTCTGGGTCAATAATCTGACAAATAAATGTGTACACACTCTGAAAAAAAAGAACCATCAATATACAAAGGTGCAAGACTTCTTTCTGGAAAAAAAAATTTCAATTATTATCTTTTATGTGAGATCCATTTTTCTGTTGCTCCACTGTGATGTTAAATAATTGTCCAATTACTGTTGTTTTGTGTGAATAAGACAGCTTAATATGTGCATTAAAAGTACATTAAATTCAGAGGAAAATATATTTCTATTCATTTAATATGCTATGAGATGTATACATTCAAAACACCATTCACTCCAAAATTGCAGATGGTGACCTACATGTACATACCAGAGCTGCTTGAACATTTTTTTAAATGCCATATTATATCCAAAATTTGTAGACATTTTTAAAAATTAAATTCGAATTCTTTCAATTTGAAATTTAGAATTGCCAAAAATTTGTTACTCTACTATCAAATGCTCACTTATAGTGAGAAAATCATTCTCAAATTTGCTGGCTACTAGAGTATCCCATTGATGACTTTTCATCATATAACGTATCATTTCAATTTATTTCTTACATGTAACAACTCATGATGGCCAAGTTAGCATCTATCTTAAAAATTGTTACTTTAAATCCAAATCATGTAATAAGAAGAAAATTGATTCAATAGTAATAACTCTTGTTAAATACATATACAAGGATTACTGTCTTCATTATGTTTATGATATGATAATGTGCACTTTTCATGCATCATATGTATCATACCTGTACTGTGTCTGTATGATGAAAGGCCCTAGAAAATGACATTCCCCCATGATTTTCATACACCACAGTCACCATCTTTCCATTGTCTGGGAATGTCAAGGCTATTCCGTCTGCCATCTTGAAGTTGAAAAGCAATTTAAAATTATGATTAATAGGCCTTTCAGTTCCTAATATGACCTCCAAATACTTTTGAAAACAAGAGCCCATAAGCCATAAAATTCATCCAAGAGACGGTTGCCTTGTTGATCTTTAGAAGATTTTGCATTTTTCCCCTTTCCACTCCCATAAAAATTTTAATCCTATATTTGGCCCAAATCTAGCCCCAAGAGAATGTGATTTACTAAGTTTGATTCAACATGTTGGATGCTTTAATTCCAAAATGACTAACATGGTCTTAATGTTCAGGAGGAGATTTTTTTTTTTACAGATTTCTTTTTTTCTTCTATATCTTCACCTGTGAACCTTTGATCTTCTATTCTGGCATCTCCTTACTTACCCTTGAAGGCCTAATATGAATTTGATTGAAATTAGCCTTTTGGTTTTGGAGATCGAATATAGGTTTAGAGACATACCAGGTACAAAACTTACCCTTCTAGACAGAATTAACAATTCCAAGCATTAACATAATATTTTATGTAAGTCCAATTAATTTTTTTCCAATGGCCCTTGATCATTCAAGGGCAAATAAAGTAGTTTACATTGTACTATGTGTGCAAGTACATGTACTGGGAAATAGGGTTTACTAAGAATTACTGAGAAGTAAGTTATGAGCAGTGAACTTCTTCAAGTGAACACTTCAAGACAATATACCGTATAGCGGGGTGCTAATTTTGGCTTATTTTAGTGGTTTGGTAGTAGCCCGCTAAAATTTTAATCACTAAAATATTCAGTATTCTTCTTAGTGTTCTTTTGCAATGTGTTCAAACCCTGTGTCCGCTAAAATTAATTACACTAAAATGATTGGCATACATTTGAACAAGCAAAACGCCAAATTTTACACCCGCCAAGAAATCCTGCTATATGATAACTGGATCATAATGTCAAACCTCCTTTCTCTTTATCTTCTTTTCCAAGACCTACAATAAAGAAACATTTGCTGATGTATCCATACTTGTATAAAAAAGTGTTCTTGGGAAAAACTGCTAAATTCCAATTTGAAAAATAAATAGTACTTTTTAAAGATATTTAATATGGTATACACTTACATCACAAAATGCTGCTACTTCACTATCCATTAGCTGAAAATAATCAAAGAATCTGATATACATGTATACATGTACATATATGTTGAGAAACTGCCACTTTTACGATTTCTCATTTGATTGATTACTTTTTGATATTAAGAACAAGATAGCAGTAAACATATATCATACATGTATTCAATATTGACAACTTACTGGCAAATCCTCTAATACCGGTACATCCTCCTTCGAAAGCTAAAAGAAAGAACAGTAAATACTTTTATGCCCTGTTCACACCGAGAATTTACTAGTAATCTGAATCAAATGTAAGTTACAGCAAATTAAATTTGAATCCCATTTACACAGAGATTACAAATTAATTTAATTTGAATTAAATTACTGTGCATCAAATTACTCCGCATTAGCTCTTTAGATAATTAGAATTAAAATTCTGACACGTGCGTAATGGCAAAATCAAGTCGCATGCCACATGTCAGTGGTCAGATATAGGTACTTATGCTATTTTTTTTTTTAGTGAAAAACAAAGTGAAATTATGCTTATTACTGAAATGATTACAGACACCATGACATTATGTCTAATGGATCTGCTCTGCACAATTTGAAGTGATTTGCAAATGACATCATGATAGCATTATACAACATGTGCAAATCTGGGGGGGGGGGGGGGGGGGTCTGGGTCCCTAAAAGGACCTTGGACGCCTCACTAGCAAAGCGCAGACCCCTGTTAAGAAAAGTCATACATATAAAGATTAAGAAATGAATGGGAACACGCATTATTTCACTTCTCATTAATTTAATGCGAATTAAAACTCTCTGTGTGAACAGGTCATTACATTAACTATCTCATTCCAAATCATTGTTAAGGAAAAACTAGACTAGTGAAGTTTTAAGAAAAAAAGTAGATTGCTTGATGTTAAATTGTTGCTTATTTCAATATCATAATCATTTCTATACACATATGTATAAATGTATTGTTTAAAGATAACAAATATGTGTACTTAGTATACATTATCTTTTACATACAGCATCAGACTTAGGATCTGTATTAATGTCTGAAGAAAGAGAGGGTACCTCAATGTCTGGTAGCTCATCAGAAATCTAAAATATATATAAATATATATATATATACAATGAAAAAAGTCAAGATTCTCAAGACCTGAAAATTCATTTTATCTGTAAGTGCTTCCTGCACCACTTTTTTCAAAAGACGGACATAATATAGGCATTGAAAATTGGGGCTTACCTTTTTCTGTTGGTTTAGCTCCCCATTTCAGATAGCCCCCCCCCCCCCCCCCCTTTCAATTTGCTTCTGATGCCTATAGATGTGTTCATAAGCACAACATCAATTGTGAAGAAAAAAAAATACTTCTACCAACAAGATTGATAACTCTTGTGTCTAACAATGCTGCCTATCATTAATAAGGAATACACATAATACATGAAGTTTATGACAAACAGACCCAAAATTATGCACAGACTGAGTAGCCAATTTTAGTCCTTTATTGAATTACAATTTAAAGGCAATGGATTGGTAAAATGTTTGCACAATTAAACTGTTATTTTTCCTGGACTCATAAATAGCCATAAGGTAGTTTTCATCTTTCAAATATCAGCAATAGAATATATATTATTAAACCAAAATGCACACCTGGAACTCATGATCGATGTTGACTAATTCTAAAGTTTTCTTTGTTTATACATTTACATGCATTTGTGTTTGTTTGTAATAAATCATACATGCAATTGATGTTACTTTCCCCCTGACATGCTATAGCTGCATAAACTTGACAATTTTATGGAGACTGAGCATCAATAGCAATATAATTTAGATACTAGTTTATATATATGTCTATACAAGTAAGATCTGTACAGCAAAATCTTCAGACTGTGAAGAAGTCTGCGGTTTATAATAGTGCTCAAGAAAAAGATTAAAATGAGAGAAAAAGGGAGGAAAATTTTTTCTTCTTCAATGAGTCATATTTAGCTTTAAGTTTATGACCATGAACAATATCCCCCATTGAAAGTATTTAAAATACAATTGAAAATATTCACATGGATTCATTAGGAAAGAAGCAATCTACTTGTACTAAAACATACTAACATACCTCATTTTCAACAATGATTGGAGACAACTTTCTTTTTCTTTGTGGTTGTTCCTCTGCATTACTGCCTAGTGGTGACCCTTTCCCATCTAATTCCTTTGATGTTGATGGCTCCAAATCCTGCACATAACCATTATACAGCTTGCTAGAATAATACTAACATAATACAAGTCATATGTGATTACATGTAATTATAAACAAGGGCAGACAACTTACATAACATTCTGTGGATGCTTTCATGTCTCGTTTTCTCTTTTCCTTTTGGGTCTGCAAATGAAATATCTTGTGACTAAGGTGACCAAAAATCATAATGAATCCTGTTACCTTGTGTAATAATAAAATTATGACTAAGTTAAGAGCGAAATGTTTGTTATTTGATAGATTATCCAAATTTACTGAAAGTTTATTTAAATTAATAACTATAATTACCAAAAAAAAAAAAAAGAAAGAAAATGGAGGAACTGTTGGCAATAGGCTAGCAAAATGACACCTAGTTATTTAATAGAGTTTTCAATAGCAAAAAATTGATTTTGCCATTATACCCATATGGTGGGGGGGGGGGGGGGGGGGTAGTTAAAAAGCTATTGCGAGTCTCCTTAAATTTTATTCAGTGGTATTGTTTTGGATAGGGTATATGGGTATGCCCAACTATTACAAATGTACCAATGTACATTCCAATCACTATTAGGAAAGTTTAAGCTGTAGAATGAAAAAAAACCCAAACAACTAGAAAGTCATGAAAAATAAACACTTACTGATCTTGATAATTCCATTTTCGGGAGTTTACAATCATCATCAGAACCCTACATTTAAAATAAATGCACAATTTTTAAGTAAGTTCATCACAAAAGTTTCTAAAAATGTTGACTGCTTTATATGGAATTTGTACCCAGTATGATCTTTCTGATCAATTTGTCAGTTTACTGCATGTGGCCATCCCTAATAAAAATCTTCAAATATTATATGTAAGTTCAAATTTAAGAGAAACAATCTCTAGCTTTCATATAATCACTTATATTAAACAGAGCACACTATTAATTGGTACAGTGGTAAATTATATTTTGATGCCTAAAAATACATCCAAATGCATGCAGTTTCTTTCAAATTCTGGTCAATTTTAGAAATTTTGTTGACTTTCCTCAGTGAAGTTTCAGACTAATTTCTTCAATTGTGAAGCCACAAGAAACTTTTAAAATTTTTGTTTAAAAAACTTTCATAAACAGCAATGGCAATTTACTTGTACTAAACATACCTCATTTTCAATAATGATTGGAGACAATTTTATTTTTCTATGTGGTTGTTCCTCTACATTACTGCCTAGTGGTGACCCTTTCCCATCTAATTCCTTTGATGTTGATGGCTCCAAATCCTGCACATAACCATTATACAGCTTGCTTGAAAAATAATTAATACAAGTCATGCAAAATTCATTTTAAACAGGGTCAGATCACTTACATAACATTCTGTGGATGCTTTCATTCCATGTTTTCTCTCTTTCTTTGGGGTCTGCAAAGGAAAAATATACATGTATCTGTGTTCTAAATTCCTTGAACTACATCTATTTTAAAATTACTTACTGCATAATCTTTAATTTTTAATTTCAAAATTGCACTTAGGTTCTTAAGGCATATCAGTGATGAAAGCAAGTGGAGCAGGAGTCACAATGCTCACCAAAGTCACATCCTCTCTGCTTATAAGCTAAAGATTTAAATTAAAAAAAAAAAAGAAGCTTTTTATTCCCTGAACAATTTAACCAACCCAACTTAGCACAAGCGGATCATGATTAAACTGAACTTGAATCCACATGGGGGGGGGGGGGGTGGTTACATCATGCTGCCATAACAAAATGATTGAAACAGCCTTGCTGTTCATCAGAAATTTTTAGCATTTTACTTCCATATGCATGCATTTTGTGAAAATTGATACCCTATTTAAGCCAAATCCTATCCCTATGATCAATGTTTTTGGTTTTTGTTTTTTAATTGGAAACTTAAATCCAATGGAAGAGAAGGTTGCATTGCAATGTGAATTAGTGTGGCACTGCAACTATTGAAAACATATTTTTTTTTCATTATTTCTTTGCTTTCACATGTACTGGTAAATGGGTTTTTAACCCCCAATGTGACCCCATCCTACCTCCAGGTACCATTCAGTTCTTTAAATCTGCACTACAAAAGTCTCCATACATGCATATTACTGTCACATCATATTCCTGCTGCACTTGAGGAGGAGATTTCCAAACATTTTTTTTCTATTTATTCAAATTCATGTAAAATTTGGATCCCATATTTTAATTCACCACAACCAATCCTGGGGAATAGGGGGTGGGGATTTGAACAAATATTTTGATGACATCCATCATATTTCTGTTTATTTTATACTCTCCCCTTCCAAGAGGGTGTGGTTCTTTAGATAAATAAATTTTCTCTTCATCAAAGTATGCTTTGTGCCAAGTTTGGTTGATATTGATCCAATGCTTTTGGAGAAGTCAAAATATTAAATGTTTACTATGACAAAAACAATGAAGATTGACAATGGACATATTCCTATCATAAAAAGCTCACTTTAACCTTAAATTTGGCCCACATGTTAAAAAAATTGATTATTATGATGTAACTACCTCAAGATCCAGCTCTTCAAAGTCTTCAAATTCATCAGATATCTTAATTAAAAAAAAAATTGATTTTTAAAAAGCTCATAATTGTACAAAGATGTAAAAAATATTTGCTATCAGTTCACCTAATCCATTATCTAGACTATCTCCAGTTATTAAATGAGGTGAACTGATCTAAATGCACATGTAAGTCTAAGTAGGATTCTTGTTTGATTTCACAATTAAGGAAAAATAATACTAACAAAATTTAAATATCTTTGTTTAAATATGAGACTCTCTAACTAAAGAAGTGATATTTGTTTAGTTGAACAACTTTATTTTTGACCAAGCTACAAAATTTGGTGAAAAGTGGGAAAATGTAACTTTATAGCTAAAAAATTATTTTTGAAAATTTAAGAAATATATGAATTTTTGTTACTGAAAAGTTTCTAGGAACATGTTCTGGAGTCTATTTTTACATTTTACATAAATAAGATTTTCTAATGAGATTTTGATTGAAAGAAATAATGAAAAAATAGTAATGTCACTCTTCTGTATGGGAGATAAGAAAATTTGATGTGTTACTGTACCTTTAATTCATTCATATAGACAGATTCCTTACTGTTTACCTTATTCTTTGCATTTAAAGATTCGACAAGTCTATTAATTTAATCATGACCATGCATACATCAAAAAATATCATATATACATGTATAAGCTTTAAGATACAAAGTATGTGTTTAAAAATATCATTTTTTTTCTTTACAGAATATATTTTGTGACAATTTTACATTATTTTTGTGTCAGATCACAGAAATTGCACTTGCATGAATTTATGATCTAACACAACCAACAGTGAGAAATTAAAAAAAACAAATAAAGAGAAAGTTACTATATGCTACATGGAAAGTAAGAAATGCTGTAAAAATTATCTGAGTTTATCTATGGTTATTTATTTAAATCTTAACAAGACTATTTCTTTCTTAATCAATTAAAAAAAATGAAAAATTTACTTCATGCAAGCATATTCAATTCCCTTTATGCCCTAAAGAAGGAAAAAGTTATCTTCCCTCACACAATCTAAAACATCATTGAAAACACAGAATTTGTTGTCCCTTACATAAAATCTTTATTTTTAAGCTAAATTAAAATCATGATAAATCATTTTGTGAAAATAAATAACACTACAACAAAGTAATGCTAACTTTATGACATTCCTTGAAGTCATATCTGCATGTCATTCTGCCCACCATATTATAATTCTTTTGAAAATTACTTTAACTTAAAGATGCTCTTTTAATACAATAGGAAAAAGATTAAAGTTATTATTCTCATCCTATAAGCACTTTACTCTAACATTACTATTTTCAACATTCTTCATTTCTTTGGAACTGTCAATTTACTTTATAAAAGATCAAAGGAAGTACATGTACATGGCACAATTAACTTTGAAAGCATTATATTCTTATTTATACATGTAGGTACAAATATATTAATTTTACAAGGGGAACATGGACTTAGATATGAGCAGACTGACAGAAAAACAAAATCATGAAAAGAAAAGATCAATTAATCAAATCATTACATGCTAGAATTCAAAGATTAAACAAAAAATAAACATAATTGTAAATCACTAAAACCTCTGATAATTTCTGCCCTTTGTATTTTTCTGTAATTTCTCTCCTATCTAAAACATCAAAAAGTGAAGAAAAATACAAAAGAAAACTTGTCAATCATTTACAGTAACTTCCTTATCTGTGCAGCAGACGTCATCTACATGTATATCAAATCTGTTGGAACTTCCACTTTCCAATTCACTTCAAGCTAACCATGGTATTTAAGATATCAATGTTTGAAATATTGAAGTTCAATAGTATTAATTGCATAACAAAATGTTTATCTTAAATAATGTTGTCCTCCATGCAATAATTTGGCTGCCATTATTTGAATTTCAAACAGGCAGACACAAAAGTACTTCATGATAAATTTTTTTTAAAAACATGCAGTACTGAAATTGGGCCATCCTTAAAAAATTGTTTGTTTGGAATTGCTGCCTATGGGTTTCCAACCAAGGAGGGAGGGAGTGAGCGCAATGGAAATATTGAGTACTCAGAATGTACATAAAAATAATAAATAAGATCTTTGCATTTCAATCAATTGTCTATTAACTATGTACATGTATCTGCAAGCAACTTTGTTTATATTATAAACAACTTACACTGTAACAAAATAATGTGATTGGTATATCTCTCTGTGCATATTAGTCTACCATGTTGATGACACAATAACAAGTTACTCTTTCCCATAAAAATTAGGCCCCGCCTCCTTATATAAAACTTTCCTTTTGCTGCATTATGAATATTCATGATTTTATTTGGAACATATCGGTACTTTTCACATTGTTTACAGAAATTGATAGGTGTTCCAAATAGGTGTGTATCAGTTCATCAAACTGACGCACCTTAAGTCCTTTTAGCAGGGAATCTGTCTTTTTAGGGTGATTTTCAAGAAATCAGCAAAAAATATCGATTTACTCTTAATTAGTGAAAAAATCAGTATGGGTATAATAATGATTTCTATAAATGTGCTATTAGATGTATGTCCTTCTACAATAAAGATAATGAATTGAAATTGATTTTTTTCTACACTGTAGATGTAAATATTAGTGATAATTGCTGCCCATAACCCAGTATATAATTAATTATACAGTTAAAAGAATGTTCAGGCAAACACAAAACAATACTTTTTGACATGATTATAATTAAGTTTGACCTTTAAATATAGAAAAAATCCTTGTAATTACATCAAAGTGTTTCAAAGGTGTTTTGTATTTTTTTTTCTAAGGATTAAGTGTGTGTAAATACAATGAAAGTTAGGTAAGGTTATCTTTAAATTAATATTTGTCTGTCCTTCCCTGACTTTGGGTAAAAACATTCATTCAGTAGGTAAGTAGGGATTTTTTTTCCAGAAAATTTCAACATCAATGCAGAATTTCTAAAATATATTTTAAAAAAACTTTTTGACAGGATGAGAAAATTCTAGAATGAAAATTTTAAAATTGATCATTTTCTTGAGGTAAAACAAAATTGACATGAGCCATTTTGAGCCAGTCAGTCGGGAGAGGGCAAAATTTTAAAGATGGCTTGAGGTAAATTCTCAAACAACTCTTAAAGTATTACCTTTCCCTCTGGCCTTTGCATATATCTTTAGTGGTACATATTTCTTATTTGTTTTTAGTTTCTCCAAGTGACCAAGTGTGAATTGTTGGGGGTTCTCTATTGCTTCAATACCACATTTTCCCATTATGTAGGGAAGGAAAATAATCTTCCCTCTGAACATGTCACTAATTTTGGACATCCAATTTTCCGCATTATCGCTGTAGCTGGTTAGGATTTTCAGACAGCCACTAAGTCCATCATCCGTTGGGAAGGCTCTCTTCAAGGCCCTATTTTTACCATCCATTATATGAACAATCAGTTCCTGCAATGTTAAGCAAACACATGTATATACATGTACCATACATGCATGTTAGTGAATTTCTGAATATAAGAAAAAATTAAAATATTTTTAATGTCTTTCAGCTTATACAATTCTTCATTAACAACTCTTGTTGACATGTATATGTATGCAAAAACATGTACATTGTATGTGAGGAATGACCATTTACTTTGTGTCAATTTATGTTTCACACTGTTATTATGACAACAAGTAACTGTAACATAAACTCAATCCATAGTCTCTCACTTTTGAAATGCTCCTATCTGGTTTTGGTTTTGGTTTATGCTTCAGGCTTTGAGGGCCATACTTCTTTTTTAGGAACTCCAGACTTTCTTTGCAACCTTAAAAGATTTACTTTAAAATGACTTCACACTAACAATAGAAACATAACACACATTATCAAAAACTTGTATTGAGACACAAATTCATACTTATCATTTTACTTTATCCTAGCAAAATCATTGTCTCAAGGATGTACTATTTGGGGAAATCCTTGGCCCTATGATCATGTTTGTTTTAAGCTCAAGACAAAAATTTATCTACTAAATTACAGGGTGTTAACAATTTCCATGACCGCTTGCTCAAGAGGACAAGTTTGAATCATAACCACTCATCACCATGATGACTTTCCTTGTCCCGACTACCAAAGCTCACTTGTTGACAAGCAAGCACAGATATTTCAGATTTCTTTTAAATTGATGATATTCATTAATCAGATTCTAAGTCTCCTACCAAATCTGGAAGCACTTTGCTTCATTTTCACACAACATGTCATATAAAGAGAAGCACATAAAAAATAAATTTCATAATGACTATTGTAAGTAAGCAAGTTAATCATTTATTATAGTGACATGCGTGTGTACATATGATAGATATAAATATTTTGAGGTCTGCCTTGGAAAATCTGTTACTGTATTAAGGTGTTTCCTACAGGAAATCATCAATGCTTTTTATAAGTTGTAGAATATACTATACAATCATTAGTAAATTTACCTTTGGATAACTTTTGTTCAACACCTTTTATGTCTGCCATATCTGGGAGCACCTCACAACCTGAAAATTTAGAGAAATACATTATTCTATTGTATTTTCATGCCAAATGAATGTAGTATACATGTAATTATAGCAAAATTTCCATGTCATCAGTGTCAGAAAGCACCTCACTGTGACTACCTGTGAATTTTCATAAATACAGTTAAACCTTGTTATCTTGAACTTGATGGGACTGAACTTTGAGATATCCAAGGATTTGAGATATCAGGGATAACATACTTAAAGAATAAGTGGTTGCAACTTCCAAATCACTTTGACATATCCATGGCATCTGAAAATATCACCACATGATCAGTGTTCAAGATATCAAAGTTCAACTGAATATTCATTAAATACAGGTAAACTTCCGTATCTCGACATCGCGGATACATCGACAACCTGGGATATGTTGACGTCCGTCCGTGCTCCCGGCAGTATTTACTATATACTTCATTTGCAAACACTCTGATATGTCTAACTCTGTAATGTCGACAACCCTGTTTATCTCGATGTATATTCAGGTATATTCACAGTCCCAAGAGCAACATTTACCTGGTATATGTCGACATCGGCAATTTTCTGCTCTATTAAACCTAACTGTTTGTCAAATGGTCACTCGTCAGGCATGGATGACTCTGTGTATCTCAACATCATAAGAAATTCACACCTTTCACACCCATGTTTTGACTACACACTGCTGAATTCATTCTATAGTCAGACTGTGTTTGTAGAAGAATCCCAAGCCCTTCGGTCTTCTTCGAGACTTTAATTGCTCAATTAAATGTTCAGCTTGGGCAATATCATCGATAAATCTATATGATTTTCGTTAAATGTACCGACGTTTATTAATATCAACATAAAGCACAACTTTTATAATTTGAAAAAGCTTACTGCATTACAATGAATAATAAACGCATTAAATTTAATTCTAACTAAGGAATTAAATGATGTTTTAAAAGATATTTTGTTTTAAAAATTCTTTCAACAGGAACTTGAATAATCAAATTAATGACATGATTAACTGAATCAGCCTTAATTCATGCACAAGTAACATCACATTTTGTTTTTATGAGCTTTCTTTTTGAAATGAGAAAAAAAAAAAATAATGCATCTAATTTTTTTTCTGTTTCTCGGATGTCAACTTTATATGGTTCGAAGTTTATAGAGCACATTTCATATCCTGTTCTGACCAAAAAAACAAGTTACACGTACACGGAATGGTGGAATTTTGGAAAACTTTGTAAATTTAGAAAGATTTCGATATAGAGAAAGAACTTATTTTATAAACATTATTTTTATTATAATTCCTTAGATTTGGTAATAAAAATAGAGGGATTCCTGAAATAAGATGAACTACCGTATATTGAAGTCATGTACGTAATAAACCTGTCTGTTTTGCTATGCAGTGAAATCTTGGGCGTCTTGGACATGAAGTCTCAACTCTGATACCTCAACATTTTCCGATAGTTCTGCTGATGTCGAGATAGCAAAGTTTACCTGTAATTGATTAATTGTAATTTAAGGCAAAAGGAATTTGCTTCAAATCTAGAACTTCCGCAATCAATAAATTTACCAATGGATGGTTCTTTTTCAACATCTCCGGTGTCCTTGCTACCTATAAAATAGATAAATGCATAAATAACTAGTAATATTCTAATAGTAATGAAAATGGTTACAAATGTTCCTAAAAACAGATACATGTACATAGTAATGGGGGGAGGGGGGAGAGTTGCCAACTCCCCCAATTCTGTTGTGTTAAACCAGATTTTTTTTTACCCATAACCCAATTATTTTTTATGGCATGGCGAGTCATGCTTTTCACCTGATTTTTGATGAAGAACCCTAAATTTCCAGATCTGGTTTGTAAAATAGTTCATTCTAGTTTGATTTCAGCAAATAATTCACTGCAGATTCAGGACTGCCTGTCTTCATTTTCGGTTCTTATTTAGTATTTACCATGTTTACCGATAAAAAAAAATCTGAAACTATAATACATCAGAATGTTAAACTTCTTTTGAACATATTTCTGTTCTTCTCTGCTTCAACTTTTTGTTTTATATTCAGTTCATGACATCTCTCTCTCTCTCTCTCTCTATATATATATATATTACAATGTAATTATAACTTCACATACCTATTCTTATCCCACAATTCCCACAAAATTTGGGATTGTTGTGGTCAAACTTGTGACCACACTCTACACAAAACATATCTGTAAAAAAAAATACATATTTTATGATGCGATTTATAATACTCCTGGCGTGTGCATATATATAGAAGACAATTTATGTTTTATTCTACAGGTCCAGCACAATCTCTTGATTAAGCTATATAGCTTGAAATAGCTATATAGCTTTATTAAGCTATTCAAAATAGCTTGATAAAGCTATTTATATGCAGGTTTTCACAAAAATGTTATTTGAACAAAATAGACAAAAAGTTGCAAGTATTTGACCATTCATATATGTAATATGGGTTATCAAATCAACAACCCAAATCAAAGATAGTTCTAACATTGCAGCATTTGAATACTTTTAAGCAAAAGATGAATTTCCATTGTTTGGGTAACTGTACACTACCTTGTGTGCGTTGAGGCATGGATAAGTATGATTGCTTCTCATTGTACTGAATTATTACCAATCAATTATCTTGTTGACCATAATTGGCCTCCTTTACAATTTCATTGAAGAAGTAACTGTATCAATTGCTTTATATAGCCCCAAAACTTTTAGAACTTTGAGTACAAAGTCTCTTAAGGAGACGCAATTTGATGAGTGATTTTTATATGCATTATTTTCATAAGAGTTCAAGGTTGAATATCATCACTGCACCAAGCTGCGACTTTTTGTGCATACTTGGAAAATAACAAATTTGAGAAAAAAGTGTGATAAAATAGCTAAATTAAGCTATTCTGAATAGCTTAATAAAGCTATATAGCTAAATCAAGCTATATAGCTTAATCAAGAGATTGTGCCGGACCTGTTCTAGACTCAATCCCTGACGAGAAAATTCGAAAGTTAGGTTTGAAAGTTCTATATCTTAACATTAAGGTTTGAAAGTTCTGTACTTTAACATTTAAGCTTAAAACATTACTGGCGTGGTTTTTACTTCTTACCGTGTCTGTCCTACCTTGTAACTTTTGTTGTCGAAGACGTCTTCAGACTGTCACTTCGACTGAACTGAGTGAACGGTGAACACACATGTAAAGATCTCTCTCACATAGGCGCTTTGTATCCGTCACGCTAGAAATAATATTTCTCCACGCTCAAGATAATATTTCCTTCACGCTTCAAATAATGTGTGCAAATCTCTCTCACATTAACGCTTGTATCCGTCACGCTAGAAATAATATTTCTCCACGCTCAAGATAATATAATTTCACGCTTCAAATAATGTGTACAGTCTGTCACAATAATAATGTTTCAACAAGGGACAGAGTTTTCGTTCCTGTCACTAGAAAAGAAGTTATCTTTCCCGATGAAAAATAAAGTTGTTTTCTACGAACAAGGCGCACATTATTATTGTTGCAAAATTAATGTGGTGTTTTTTTTTTTTGTTTTGTTTTTTTTTTTTTTTTGCATACATATTTATTTCTATGAAAGTGTTTTTTTTTAATTTTCAATCAGTAGTTGTTACTAGTATGCATTCTTATAAATCGTTGAAGTAAACGTAATATGATATAATCTTGGTGTAAATAAAAACAATGTACACACATCGACCGATTATAATTATTGCTGTTGGCAAGATTATAGTTGTAAAACATCAGAGGATAAAATCATTATTTATTGTTGGGCTAAATAAAGATAATTTGTACACATAGTATGGTAGTATAGTATGGAAACGTGATAATTGTAATATTTGCGGGGAAATATAATAATGTTAAAAAAAAAAAAAAAAAAAGGATAGATTTTTTTTTATTTTATTTTTTTTATTTATTATTATTATTATTATTATTATTATTATTATTATTATTATTAATTTGTGGTACAATTATAAAAATATAGGAATAATAATAATGTGCAGGTACCCAAATTATTATTGTTGCAGAAAAATAATAATGTTGTAAAAAAGCAAGATTTTTATTTTTGTATGAGATCATTATTTTTGGTATAGTTATATAGGAAAAAATAATAATAATGTGGGGGTACCCTACGGCTTTCCATAGGCGGGGCATAGGGAATTATGGTGTAAAATTTCAAAGCAAAAGCTTCCTAAGATATCGACAAGAAACGAAAGTGTAGCAAACAGACACAATGCATGAATTACCAACCTTGACCTTTGTACCTCAAAATCAAAAGGGGTCTTCCTTGTGCCATAGAGAGTTTTTAGGTAAAATTTATTTGCAAACGCTTAAAGGCTTCTTGAGATATCTCGCGGAAACAAAGTGTAAGATACAGACAGAAATACAGACAGACGGAGAGACGGACCCAAATAATACCCCCCTTTCTTTGCTGTGCATGTCCACGTGCCTTGATGTATGTCGAGAAAACGCGAAGAACGCTATAAATTTACCCATACCTGGTAATAAGATCACTGCACCGGTTCAAAGTGATTTACACCCTGAATTTCATTCATTGAAATATGACTCACAAAAAAGTAATAAACTCCATAAAAACTCAACAGTAAACACACACTGTCACTCTTCGTATTCAGCCTAGCATCGATACACTTTTTGCGTGCTGATCAGTTTTTGGTCAGGGAAAATATCAGAAGTGAAAAAAAAATAGTATTTGCGCGGCTAGGGGTATGGAATATCAGAAGTGAAAAAAAAATAGTATTTGCGCGGCTAGGGGTAAGAAGAAAGAATAAAAGTATTCTGATTGCTGTTCATGAAGTATAACTGAAAATTGTCTAGTTCAAATAAATATACATACATTCTGTGGGTGCATTGTATTGCATGATTTATTTATTAATTTTTAACTGATTATTTTCGTAAATATCTCAAAACAACTAAACCAAGTGATTTGATATACGAAAATAATTTGGTACATGGGGGAGGCATCTCCCTTTTCAGACTGTCATTCAGGCACCTAGCATTGATTTTTGATATCCGGGGAGGGGGGGGGCGTAAAAAATAATTGACCTGACCACTCATCTGAAAATTTTTTGACAGCGGACATTTCTTCCAAATCCAATTTTGTCAATCATTTTAGTGCCCCACCCTGCCCACTGACATGTACGTATATTTTGTGCAACGTGGCTGTTTTTATATGCACATACACGAAGCATTTCCAGATTGGGGAATTTCCGCCTGACAGTGTAAAATTTGGTACCTCTATAATTATAATTTCATGCATTTGGAGAACATCTTAAAAGCTAGGGATGGACTAATCGCAACCCGGCCTGATTATGGATAATTATTATGTCACCCCGAACGAAGTCGGGGGACATATTGCTATTGTACGCATGAAAACGTTGTCCGGGGACTTTCTAGCAGATGGCTGGGGCATTGTGCTGTATTGACCAGCTGTATATATGTGGGAAAAAAAATCAGTTTCAACATGGCTACCGTTGCCATGGAGACCCACGAAAAGTGAAGAATTTTGTCCAGAAGTGTTCTTACTGATATCTTAGACAAACGTAATGAATCTTCATAGAAATGATAACCAGTGATTGTAGTTTTGCAAATCGCATTTAAAATTTTCAAACCACCCATCGTTGCCATGGAAACAGAAGAAAAGTAAAAATTGCTAAATTTTGATTTTCTCACAAACTGCTCAGGCAATTATTTAGAAACTTTTATGGATTGTTCCTTACATTCTGTCAAAGCATTTTCTATTTTAAAAATTAGAATCTTTTGCAAACAGTTGCCATAGGAATGAAAGAAACAGAGAAAAATTAATATTCACACAAATGTTTTCCGAGGTAGCTTGGATAATTGTGATGAAAATTTACAGAGATTATGATTAGACACTCTTTTTGTTCAGTCAACATTCAAAAACTTCTAAATGCCTATCGTTGCTATGGAAACAAGAAAAATGTTTGTTTTTTTTTTTTTTTTTTTTTTTTTTTTTTTTTTTTATTTTCATTTTTCTCTGTAATTAACAAAGGAAAATTTCAAAACTTTATTGGTTTAATCCTTTCAATGTACCAAAGTGGTTTCTGCATAAAATGGAATTGATGGTCAGCGGAAGGAAGTCGGTGACCACTAATTTTTTTTTTATTCACCTTACTTTTGTCTTGGAGCCTTCTTGTAGAAGACTTAGAAAATCAGTTGTGCGGATATATATTAAATTTTCAAAGGATGTTTATTTAAAACCTGAAAAATTCATATTTGCAGTTTCTTGATACCAGCGGTCAAAAACGTTGTATAAACGTTTATGCTTGATCTTTTTAGAGCTATACATTATTCAATTTCTTCGTTTTCCTTATGTCTTTTTTCCTAATATTCCTAGGGTACGTAAAAGCTAATCTAAACAGCTTATATATATCACCAGTTTCTTGATATGATTAAGAAGAAATAAAATATCTTAGCATTTCAAAAAACAAAAAAAACAAAACAAAACAAAAAACAAAACAAAAAAAAAAACACGAAGTGTAGAGTTAAAACTTCTCTGGTTACAGTGAGGAGACGAAACCTTCCTAATGCCATAGAAAGGAGTTTCTA